TATTATTGTGTGTAGACGGCGACTTTCGGGTCGGTGTCGTATTTCAACTTTGCGCGTTTGGCGCTAGCCCAGCCGAGCGCGGCGCGGCCAGTTCGGAATTCCTACGTCGCCGTGCGCAGGCGACGGTGACCGACCGAGCGCGACTCGCCGCGTACCACCACTCCAGCTGCGCAGCGACATAACCTTGAACCTGGTCGCCGGGCGCGCGTACCACGAAATCCGGTCGGACCGCGCCGCCGCCGCCGCCGTCGTACCAACACTAAAGTGACCGACACATAATATGGTCGCAGTGCTTTTTTTCTCATTCTTCCGATTCGACTAATATTATCATAGGTAAGGTGGTAGGTACACCGTATACCGCGGTCAGATGCCGCATGTATAGGGCGTCGTAATACTTGTACCACGCTCTGCGTATTTTTTGTTTGTCGAGGTTTTTGGTCTTTTGCCCCATAAGACAGGGTGTTGGTGACATGCCTGACCTACACACACAAAAATCTCCCGTCATACACATAATATAATATCATTAGTAAACCATATGACTTTAACAGGTTGCAGCCTGCAAGTATATATATATATATAACGATCTATACTATTTTGCATTCTGCCGGGCGTACTGATGAGTGTATTGATTTGTTCGGTATTCTTGTCGTATGCGGTCTACCGCACACATGCCGTCTGCCATACAAGTTTCTATATGTCATATGCGGTCTACAACTATTTGACGGCAATGATGATTAAAGCTTTATCTTAACGATGTTTAAATAATATAATACTACTGGCACGGAGGGCTAGTACTATAATTAAATCTGAGTCCAACATAATATGAATTATGAGATAATCAGTTTAGTTTGTGCTGTAATACCACTAATACCCGAGGTGGCGAGGTAATACCTACGTGATACCGATACGTTATTCTGCAATTTATACTCTACACTTAAGTCATTATGTTAGCCAAACATTTCAATGTAATTATTCAATCAGAGGAAAATACCATAACTTTTTTAAAGGAAAAAGGACTTATAAAAACAATGAAAATTTTTCTATACTGAATATAATTTTTTTTCTACGCTTAATATAATTTTTTTTGTAAAAAACAATACTGATGATACATTTGAATATTTTTTAAGAGACGTAAAATTATATTGTACTTAATGTAAATAATAAAAATAATGAAAATTTTTTCTATACTAAATATAATTTTTTTGTACCTAATCTAACGTATAGAAACATGTGTAGTAGACGGCTAGTGTGCGGTAGACCGCATACGACATATTATTGGAACGTGCGGTAGACCGCATACGACAAGATTACCATTTGTTCTTTTTAGTTTTTTTTTTTTTCACTAGAACCAATCCAATCTTCAACTTTGAAAGAGGTTCCTGGAAGCAAATTGAATCTACGAATGTTTATAGAAAACCTTAAAATAATCGTTTGGTACCACCACTACCACCACCACACGGTTACGAAAAAGTCTAATCTTGTTCGCGACTATATATAGAATTCGTTATTCGTAATATTTAACTAACCATGATTATTTAATTATTTAAGATAGTTAATGAATTAAAATTTAAAATACACATCTATTATACAAATGTATTATGACCTAGTCAGATACACTTTAATGATACCTTAGATGTACAACAGAGCGGTAAACAATTTTGTTATATACATTTTACCTGTGTAATTTAAAACCATAATAATAATCGTTTATCAACCTCAAGTGCGAGTCTTGACGAGATGTGCAATGTAACTGTGTTTCAGGACCACTCTTGCCCTGTTAACGATCCATTTTTTAATAAGACTGAATGATCTTTCCTGTAGTTATATTATTGTTATACAAGAAAGTGCTGTACGATCATAAACTTACCTGGTCGAAGACTCCAGCGAATAATACCTACAACGGACGTTTCAAACACAACGACGTATTGACTTTCTGTTCGGTTGATTTAAACGGAAAGTGTAGGTTACTCGACATTCATTGCATATGGGCGTGGGGAACTGAAAGGAATGCATAGGATACGTGAATAAGACCACAGCGGCGATGACGATGATAATTAATATTATAAATAAAAACAAGTGTGATTTTTGCTACACGCCAATTTTTTTTCCATTCCAGATTACAATTTTTTTCCAATATAACAAGACAAATTGCCAAAAGTTTTCACGTTTTTTTTTCATTTTTGCTTTTTTTTATCTAATATAAGTATGAATAAAATACAAAACATAGACTCTAAAATATCAATTAATATCGTTTCTTTAAAATATTACATCGTTTTAAAAAAATTGATTATGCACTAATGTTTTATTTTTGTATTTGTTGTGTATAAACGATAAAGAGGTACATATGGGTTTTCTTAATAAATACGACCGTTATAAATTAATTAATCATAAAAAGAAGTCAATATTCAGTTAAGAGTAAAAAAAAAAAACAAACTTAATTTATAACAGATAAAAGCAAGTCTAACAACTTTCTAGGCTAATGCCACAGACTGTACATAAAAAATATATATTATATATGTTCATAACTTACGTTTCGATAAATATAAATAGGGTAAAATGTATGGCTTAGCATATTAAGATGAAAATGTATTTATTTTTTTTTTTTTAATTATTGGCATATAATATTATTATTAATTTTCCAATAAAATGTTTGCAGCACTTGGTTAACAATCACGTTCAGCCTTAATTATTAAAAGTAATAATATCTAATACAAAATTAGTCTCACTAAATTTTACTTTTTCATCCGTAGTTATAATATACAAATATATTATGTATTTATATTTTATATAATATAATATCATATCAAATTGCCTATAATATATATTATAATTAATATATGTGCGACCAATAAAGAGTTAGCGTTTAAAAAATATATCTCTCTTTCGCGCGTGTAATATATGAAAAGAGGGAAGGTGTATATAAATATCATGAACGAGGATGGCACTCGAGACTAGAGTTAAAAAAAAATCCAAAAACGAAAGTTTTTTCAAAAATTTAGGGACGTTTATTTTACGGCAGAAACGTGTTGTTTTGGAGAAAAAACAAACAAATTCTTTTTCGTGGCCTAACAAACTAAAATAAAGTCTTAAGGTTTTATAAAAAAAACAGCACTTATCACAATATTGTATCGTAGGAGAAAAATTTTTATTTAAAAAATGTCTATGACTTCTTTACTTTTTTTTTTTATTTAGCAAAAACCTAATATTAATGAACACTCCTGTTACTTCCACTGGTATAATTAATATTTATATAAATAATCGCATGAACAATTCAATACGTATGTATGTATACTTATAACATACATGAGTATATTTATATCTAAAAATATGAAAGCTTTTCACCATTTTTTATTTGATTTGGGGATTCCTTGTTTAATTTTAAATCTGTATGTACAAATAAGCGCTTTTATAAATTACTTCTTTATAATAATAATATAATAATAATAATAATAATAATCATAATAATAATAATAATAATTGTAATAATAATAATAATCATAATAATAATAATAATAATAATAAAAATAATAATAATAATATTGTTTTACGTACATTTTATTTATTTTTTTACAAGTGCATTTAAATTAGGTGCCGTCTAGTGAACAAAAAAAAAAGAAATGTTTAAAAAATGAAATAATAATAATAATAAAAATAAAAATAATAATAATAATAAAGGAAAAATGCGCAAACACAACTTGGAAATGCAACGAAATCAGGTAAAACGTAACAAAAAAAAAAAACTAACAAGTATAGTATACCTACATCAGAAAAAATAATAATTATCAATACTACCAACTATAACATTTTAAGATCATACTTAATCTATTTTGTACTGTGCATTAAAAAAACGTGGGGGAGGGGAAGCATCATGTAATAATATCCTCGTAGACTTAACAGTTAACTCATATACTTAAAATTATATTTTATTTTATCGTCTACGATTACGGGTAACGTTAAAAATGTTATACAACTAAAAGTTCTCAATTAAATATTTAAATATATATATATATATTTATACTACTATTTATATTAAAAAAAAAACTGTACAATAGGAACATATTGTGAACATATATCATTTAAACGCTCTGTTTACTTATGTATTTCACGATTTTTAAAAATAATAAAATATTGAATTTTCAAAGTATTCAGTTAGGCCTATACGTTTGAAAAAAAACCAAATATCCTAAGTGTTACACAATTATTAAATAATTATAATATATTATATAGTAAATTAAATGTTGATTATTCGTATTTTACAAGAATTATCTGCTAACAACACTATACACAGTAGAGTTCCGTGGGAGCGGTGGGGGGGGATTGAGAGACGACGAAATCGCAGTGGTTGAAAACTCGAATTCGAAAAATGAAAATAAACGAACACTACGATGAAATAATATTTCAGGCACATTTTCTTTTTTTTCCAAAATCCGTACTCATAACCTACCACTGCGACGGACACGCACTCGCCAGTCATTATAATAATATTATACAAGACGCACTCCCGCGGCCTTTATATTATTATTATTGTTGTGTTCGGATGTTCGCCGATTGTAAAAAAATAAAAACAATATAATATATTATGTATCCAACATCATAACCGTGATTTAAGATGTAACAAAACCTACTCCAGCGAATTTCAAAAAAAACATAAATATAAAAACACACCAATTACACACAAGACACAACACACTCTACCGCGCGAGTCACTCACTCGTCCGTCTAGGGCGAAACGTCATCGTCATCATAATACAAAATATTATCCTAATTATATTAATATATATTTGTATGTACATAAAATATTAAACTCGTATGATGCGCGTGTTCAAATCTATATATATATATATATATATATATTATTATACATAAGCATAATATTGTAACACCGACAACACACACACAGGTCTAACTACCTAACTACCTCTACATATATATATATACGATACGTATCGACAATAAGAGTAAAAATTATTATTATTGTAATAATAATTGATGATAATAATAAATTAATATATGTTTAAAAATATATTTGAGCAACCGTTCTTCGAAATTAAAAAAATAATAATTAAATAATAAAAGGACGCGCAGGACGAACGCAGTGCATTGCGCAGATCGTGTGTGTGTGTATATGTGTATTTGTTTGTTTGAATGTTTGTGTTTGCTTCGTGTAGCGGGCGAGAAGATAATGTTTTAAGAATAATAATAATAACAATATATTAATATTAGAAATATTAAGATGCGTTCTCACCGCGACGACTAATGCTGTTTCTGTTGTTGTTGTTGGTTGTGTGATAGGTGGTTGGATGATGATGATGATGTTTGTTTCGACTTTCCGTACCGCCGATGGTAGTGCTCGCGCCGGAGCTCGAACAGCCGCTCGCGGAGCATGCGCTGTTTCTGCTGCATGACGTGCTTCTCGGACAGCAGCCGCCGCTCGTCCAGCATCATGAGGTCGCACTCCCGCTTGGCGCCGCGCAGTATGCTCAGCTTGGACGGTATCTTGCGGTTGTCGTCCAGGTACGACACCTGCATGCTGAGGTTCATGAACAGCATGCTGGTCTCGACGCGCCGCGACTTCTCCAGGTCGTTGTGCAGCGCCCTCTTGACGGGGTCCATTAGCTTGGTCTTGTAGCTGTAACCGCCACCGCCGACGTTCTCGTACTTGATCTTCTTGCCAGCGCCGGACTGGTGGGGGTTGTGTAGCTTGGTCGATGACGACTTCGACGTCCCGGACGCGGTCGCCTTCTTTTTCTTCTTCTTCTTCTTTTTGCGGCCACCGCCCGTGGTTGACGAGCTGCACGACGACGAACCACCGGAAGACTTGCGGCCGCCACTCGACGTCGTCGAAGCACCTCGCAACACTTTTTCCCAGTCCATGTCGTGGTCGTCGTCGTAATCATCGTAATCGTCTTCGAATATGTCATCCGGTTCGTTTTTCATCAGCGACTCAAAGTCCGCATCCATGTCGTAATCCTCGTCCTCGTCGTCACCGACTTCACGGTCATCATCCTCGTCCAAAGGTTCTGATTTGATGGTCATCGTGAGCGGAACTTGTTGTTGCCGCTGTTTTCGTCGCTGACGCTGTCGGCTGTCGTACTCGTCGTCGTCACTGCGGTCATCGCCAGCAGACGAACCGTAGTCGTCCAAGGGCTCTTCCTTGATGACGGGTTCTTCTTTGATGACCGTGCCCTTCCAGTTGGTGTTGTCCTTCTTGTATCGGTCCAATAGCGACAATCCACCGCACAACTTCTTAGGTGGCGGAGGGGGCATCGGGTACGCCGCGGCCACGGCTACTGCAGTGGCCGACTGACCAGCGGTCTTGTGCTTCCTTTTGACGGTGCTCTTCCACTTGGTCACGGGTGGTTCGCGCTTCTTGACTATGCCGCGTTTCATAATGTCCGCCATGGTGGCGCCCTTGCGAGGCGTGTCTGGCGTGTCCCAGCTGTCATTGACCACGTCGATCTCTTCTTCTTCTGCGAGAAAAACCGGGAAAAAATACCCAACAAACATTAATAACATGTACAAAACAAAATATATCTGTAATTATTTAATACCTAATAATAATAACAAAAATTGTCCTAATAATAATAATAATAATACGTCACAGAGTTGGTATAACGTGTGACGCGGAGGTAAACAGTTAAATTTTAAAAATTCACGGTGCCGGCGTGAGAGCGGCGAGGAAAAGCAACCGTCGGCTGTCGCGGAATCGTTCAAGGGCGGGTCGACGACACCGTCGCCGAGAGCGCGCAGATCGATCGGGCGGCGGCCGTGACGTCAGGGTCGCGGGTATGCATGTGTGAGAAGATTGCCGCCGCCGCGGACGATTCCCGCCAACGTGCGCGGCCGCCCTCAATGGTGTGTGTGGGACGACGACATCGGTGCGTTTACACCGCGACGGCGGCGGCGTTTTTCGCGCGCGCGGAAAATCTCTCTTGCCGGGAAAAACGACGGCGGTGCCGCCGGATGCGCGCGCACAGGACACGTCGCGACTAACCACGCCGCGAGGGGCCCTGGTTAGGGTTCAAGGGCAAGTCCACGACCGCCGACGCCGCCCGTATATCGATCGCCCGTAAACCCGAAATACTCTACACCCTCCTCTCATGGACAACCCCTGCCCACATCGACCACACTAGCCGACGCCGTTTTGTAGTAATAGTATTTTTAGACACGTTATCGATACGCGTCACCGTCGCCGCCGACAATCAGTGATGACAACACCGTATTCGTCTATTATGGGTATTATGATAATATTTATTATTAATTTCCCCTCCACCCACGGGGCAGAGGGATATTAAAAATAATAATAATATTATTAATTTACCATCCGACCAAGGAAAAAACCACTACGATTCCGTTACTATTAATAAACGTAGAAGTTAACATTGCCGCCGTCGTCGGAACATTATCATTTATCACTTTCCCCCGCACGCGATAGGTGGGGAAGCCGCCGCCGCAGCAAACCAGAACACTCTTACTTTTACGTAAAATAACTGCTGCTTCCACCACCGCTGCCAGAACGACAATAATTACGTATGATTACATTTTACATTAATCTGATTATTATACGAATACACGGAAGTAAAATGAAAAATGCGACAAAAACCAATTCTAACATGCGACGGGTCAGATACGAAGAAAAATTGTGTTATTGGTTATCGTCTTATTTAGAACAAGTCATGAAACGTTTTTATCGAAATAGTCAATAGCCATTAAAAACACAAAAAGTTAGGAACACGAAACGTATAATTCGACACATTTAAAATAATACCTAGGCCGTAACTTATTTAGCGTACTATTATGTAACAACGTGTGTAATTAAAAATAGGAATCGGTATTCTCGTTCTCAATATGGGAAATTTAAAATTGGAAATATAAGACGTTATTTAGTGACTATCAGTATTTATGTTCTAAATTTATGAATGCTCGACGGGTATTAACACACAGTCATTAATTTTAATTGAACAAATAATATTCAATTAAAAATAAGAAATATCAACGATAATGTACTTATTAAAGATTTTGTAAAATCATTAACGTGCATTTCTAATACCTAGTAGGTGGATATATTTAGCAATCGAAAAATACGTGAAGTAGTAACATTAGTACTTATTTCGGGAGATGAATTATTTTGTCAAAAGTGAAACGCTATTATTATTCGCGCGCATACCAACACCAACACGGTGGCCCGGGCAGCGGTGCGGGAGAGCAAATACGGAGAAATCTGACGGTTATTTAAAATTAAAAAAAATAAATAATGAGCTGCGAGAGATGTGTTTGGAATTTTTTATCAGATAGAAGAMACTGCGAGTTTTTTACGTCCAAAAATAGAATCGATTTGTGTTTATTATTGCCATTTCGTTATTGATTATCGTTTGCACGCGCGCACTTTTTTTTATAAATAATAATAATAATGATATGTGACCAATCGATTCACAGAATGGTATAAACACAGTGTGGAGTGAAAAAAATAAAAACTACATCGTCATTTACACCACCACCCCCCGAATACTGCGCATTGAACGGATCAGATATCGTCAACAAAAACAACAACAACAACGGCAACGACGACGAAGACAGAAACGACAAGACACGAAAAAGACGCGTTGGAAATGTGCACCAACACCGATGAACGGTGGTGCGGTCGGAGGGAAGCGATAGCGTAAATTATAAAAAAAAAAAGTTAATAACGTCACTGGTTATTTTGAGAGGGAAAATAACCGACGACGACCGGACAATATTATTACGATAACACGGTAATAATACGATAAAAGTCTGACAACGAATATCTATTTTACTGCGGGCGGACGTCCGCAAACGGATTGGGGCAGGCCCGAGACGAAAATACACAACTCTCTATCGGTCGTTTGTCGATAGCGGATGAACCTCGTGACGGCGGACGATTATGATATTAATATTATCAATTAATATGAAATAATATAATATTATTATTATTTAACAAGTCTTCTTCGTGGAACACCCGGCGTGCGGGATTTACGACTGATAAAAAAGAACAGCAGACGACCACGACCACCTCCATCGAGTAGTGTAATCTGGTCCGTGGTCGTGGTCGTCGACGCATTGGAAGTAAACGTTGTGTCAAGGAGGGGAATAAAAACGAAATTAAACGAAACCGCTGAGTGGAGACGATGGGCCTTGAACTAGGCCACTGTTTCCCGCGCGTTTCCCCCCTAAGGCGAGCGGACGACGACGATGCGCGCGCAATCGTCGTCACCGTACCATCGTGTCTCGCCAGCGCTGGCACGCATGTTGCGCAACGCGATGAGAAAAATTAAAATCTTTAGTTACAAAAAACCAATTTGTCAAATATTACCTATTTATTTTTATTCAATAACTATGATTATGGGTACTCACCGGAAGACTGCGAACGGGATGGGGGTGGAGTCACGAGTCCGAGCATGTCCACCAAGTGGTTGGGGTGGTGTTTGGTGGGCGACACGACCGTCGACGAACTGTTCGAACCGCAGCCGCCGCCGCTGTTGCCACCGTGGTGGTGGGTGGGCGTCTGTAAGTAACTGTGGTCCAGTTCGGTGATCTGTAGTATGTCAGCGTTGGGTTCCGCCTTGAGTATGATCGGTAGCAAGTGGTTGTCGCTGGTCCACAAGTAGTCGTCGCCATCGTCTGGCTCTGACTTGATGGTCACGCCGCCAACGATCGCTGCCGCCGCGGCGGCTGCAGCTACCGCGGCCACGGCCGGGGAATCGCCGACGTCCAACGCCGCGCACGCCTGGGCCGAGTTGTCGTTGTTCCTCTTGAAGTGCTTGGCCGCAGGTTCGGCCACGTAACCGGTCACCTCACCGGGTGGCACCATCTGGAACGCTTTCTGCACCTTCTCGCGGTTTTCGTCTGTAAGCGCATACCGGTCGGCGTAAAATATCCAATCGCAAATGTCCAGGTAACTGTTGTCGGCCGTGTCGAACTCGCACCCGTCGAACTGGCACCAACTGATGTCCATCGTCGTCTCGGCGGTCGGCTGCTGCGACGGTGTGGATGAGGCGGACGATGAAGGCGTAGACGAGGCAGTCGACGATGTCGGTGAAGCGGACGCAGACACCGACGGGACAACGGTTGTAGCAGTACAGCTGCTGGGCGAATAGAGGTCAGCGGCCACAGCGGCCGCGGCGGTCCTGGCCAGGCACGCATCGCACGAATCACATCCCGCGGCGCCCATGTAACTGTTTTTCTTGCAAAGGTCGGTGGGCGGCCGGCCGCAACAGCCTCCAGCAGTGCCCGCGGTGCCAGCCACCAAGCTGTTTAGCAGGCCTCCGGCGGACGCGCCACCGCTAACAGCCGCGACGACTACGTCCCGTTCGAAATCGAATAAGTCGTTCTTGCACACGTCGCTCATCGGCGACGCGGGCAACACGTAGTCCAGGGCGATGTCCATGGCCAGGTTGGTCATCTGGTTTAGTATGGATTCCGTGCTCGGGTTCACCATTTTGGCGGCACCTGTGACGAATTAAGACATAGGTCAGTAGGTCATTTTTGGGTGCAAACGAGTGTGATAGGAAGGAGGACGACGACGACAAAGTTTAATGAATCTTAAAAAAAATATTTAGTAGATGTTGGCGGCAAAGCGTTTTTGAAAATTGTTGAAGGGGGCGCGTTGAAATTCTAGTCGTGGGGGACACGGAGGGGTACGCGGCCTGCGAGATACCGTCGTGACGATCCCCCGGACGCGACGGTGTCTAGTCGTGCAGGGGAACGATGTTGTAAGAAAAATAAGGTTCGATAACGGGTGCGCGCGAAAGTGAAGKGCGAACGTCGCGCCGGCGCTGTGCCGACGCCGGCCGGCATACGCCCAACGCGCGCGCCACGTTGGTCGCGCCAACCGCCGCCGGCTGGCGGGAAACCCACCGGCCGATCTTGACTTAGCGGGCTCGTTAGTCGTGCCGTTCACCGACCATATACAATTAGTGTCGTCAGAAGGAGGTTATCATTAATAAATATTGTACCACTTACCCGGCAACGTGATTTTAGTCCGCGTAATCCCACCGGTCGTTTTCGACGGTCACTCGGCGTGTCGCCAACGCGCACGCACGCACGATGAGATGTACCAAAAAATTTAAAAAATGTATATAAAATTGTAAAAACCGCAGTCTCTTTCGGAAAAAAAAACCGGGAAAAATTCCCTCGCAGGACCGTCGTCCGTTTTCCGAGAGCTACGGGAAAAGCAAAATATTAAACTCGACGACGACGGATTGTCTATTTAACTATATCGTCTGGAGCGTCCGGACGAAAATCGAAAAAAACACGACAGTTTAATGTAATTGATTATTTTATTCGAACGGAACTCGCGCGAGATCGATGTACAGATCGAAATCAGAAGACGAAAAAACAATTTATAAAAATGTCAACGAAATTACATTCAAACGATACTACGGATGTAACGACCACGCGCACCACGTTCACTACCGGCGCCGGTGCGGATGAGACTGTAGTACTGTACGCGACGGCGGTCGTCGTCACTACTACTACTACTACTATTACTACTACTACCGCCGTCTTGGTGGTGGTGGTGGCGGTAGTGGGTCTGCACACACGAACGTGCGTGTGTTGCGCGCGGGCAATGGAAGTGCGTACGAAACCGTCTCCGTATATGGACTGACGTGGGGCCGGGGCGAGGTGTCGGCGGTACAGTCACACGCACACACACACGCTCGGAAACGGGCGGGCGCGCGCACTCGCACGGCCACGGCGGTTGTGCCCCCCCAGCCGCCGCCGCCTAAAAACGCCGGCCGGCGTGCTCCCCGCCCCGTAGCCGCCCGCCAGATCCGTCTGTTGACAATGCCCGCCGCCGCTCATTCCCACCATCCATCACGAGGATGGGAGCGCGCGCGCGCCGCGTATCCAGTACGTGCGCGCGAGCGCCGGCAACGTTCTGCGTCTCGCCGCCCGCCAGTCATCCAGTGGAGCACCGCCACCGCCCCGCCATCGCCACCAACGCGAGTACGGCGATACGTCTGCCGCCCGTGACGCCGCGACTCTCCCGGTGAGATTACGCACCGCGGCGGCGCTGCGTGCTCGTCGGCAGTCGCGCGCGCGGGAAACGCCGACGGATTTTCGGCGGGAACGCATCTGCCGCCGCCGCTGGACTATCGTGTTTTCGACATTCCGGTATAATTAAAAGTCGGACTCGGTGTACCACCCTTCTGACAACACTGGTTTTGTTGTGGGTGGTGAGACGAGTATATTTTTGACCCATTAAATTTAAATAGTAATTGCTTGTCCAAGTCGTTTTAGTCAACGTCCAACCCCAATTCGTAATAGAAATTACACCTAATATAGATTGAACGTTCGTTTTTGTGCTGTTCGTTGCTTATTGATTTTGGAATAATTATTTGGTGATTTCAACTCGAATAAAAATTTAATTATCCTACAACAATTTAGAATGGTATAAATTCTATTAAAAAAAATTGTTAGGTTTTTTGATTTTTTCAAAAAGTTATTGATTATTTATATTTCAGTTAAAAACCCGAAACGTTGGTAGATATCATAAGATATCGTTTATACTTACCCTGCAAGTTAAACTAATTACGTAACTGTAGCACTCCAATGGGTTAAGCTTAATGAATGCACAAACAAACCAAACTTGATTAGATTTTTGGAGTTAAATATGAGTATAATATTAACATTGTACCTACGTACTAGACTGTTTTTAAATTTATCAGAGAGGGACTAAGTTGCAAACGAATAAAGCTAAAAATTGTTCTGGTGTTGGATAATTATTGTCATTACACCGATATAGCTAGAAAAACGGATGAATGAATAAAATACTGATTAGAAGACGACTAGTAGTGAATTTGTCACGCGAGTGGGTGGAACATCAGCAAACCGCTCTTCTTAAAACGCGCGAATATATTATTGTTAAGAACGCGACGATAAAACTCGTAAAACGATTTTCATTGCCAGAAAAATATCGAATAAAATAGAATCTGGCCGCGGCGCGCAATCGTATTTCTACAGTGCCTCTACATGCGTGCACGCAAATAAATTGCGGCGCAGCTCGTCCGGCGCTAACTACATAATGGTGTACAGTAATGATATTATTGCTGTAACGAAAATAAATATTATTATATAATTATTATTATTATTAACGATGAGGTTTTCAGAAGTTCTCGTGCGGATCCTCCGAGTTCCGAGTAGCACATTTGCTTATTTAAAAAAAATCTAAATATCCCAAAAATTCAAGACAATAAATTTACCTATATCATGATTCTCAGATTTTTATTTTTATTTTTAATGAACAAAATATTTTTATTAACTTTTAAATAGGTTTACACGGACTGCGAAGTTTCTAGCTGAGTGAAATATGAAGAAAATTACAGTAGCAAATGGTGATATCAATATTACGTCATCCGTTCGAAAAACTTTTTTTTCTTAGCGGACTATAATGCTGTGAAAAATGTTAAAAAAATGTTAATTAAAACATTTTCTGAATGAAAAATATATGAAACTATATTTTATAAAAATAGCATGCCAAATGATGCAAAGTTCTCAAAATCTCAGTCCTAGTTATCACCTTCGTAAAATAATAATTACTGTCGTACATATAATTTAGAGATGGTATTATAATATTATTTAATCATGTATCAACAAGTCTAGTAAAATAGTCGTGATAATATTTTATCTTACTTCATTCAGTGTGGTGAGTGGTCTGACTAACATTATAAATTCGTCATATTCGTTAATTCAACGGAATCGATCAACAGCAGGAAACTATCGTATAATGGTATTGTGTTCGTTCCTGGAACGACGGCGCGGCGGAATCACACCGGGTCCTCTATGGCCGGAAGTGGGCGCTAGCCCGAAATAATCTTGGAAATTAAACGTTATCAAATCGCGGATAACACAAGACGCCGTCGAAAATAATATAATAGCAATGGTCTTATTCAATGCGGGTAATCTTGTTAATTTTAAACTGATCGAAACGCTTATTATTTTTATCGCAGCGTCGAACAATAAAAATTGTGTACGTATTAGTATCAGAAAGTTTTCTCAAATAGTCGAATCGTACCAAGTTCGAATATATCAATCGATCGCCAATGTGCGACTCGGAAAATTATAATATTATTTGAATTCGAGTACGTTATGCGTTATAATATGAAGTCATGTTTGTTTAAAAAGGAACAACAATTATTGAATAATATTATGTAAACCATATAAAAGTATATAAATTTAATAATGTCTTTGCAGGTATGAACTCGTATAATATTTTTCTATGGTTTTTTCGGTACCTTAGTATCATACGGAAAAAAACGACTTCGGGCTTAAAAAAACATTTCATCAAATACCCGTGTTTTCGCGTAGTGTAATTTTCGAATCGACATACCAATGCATATATTTTCAAGTTCGTTGAAAACAACTTTGTATAAATTGACAACGATAATAATTCTTATCGTGATAATTGTATTAAATGCGAACGCGATAATAATAATATTATATAGGGAAATCTATAACGTTTATCAGAGACAGGCTAAACAATATATTTTTAAAATACGAAAATGTCTATTCACTTAGTTCCTATCGCGTAATTTGCTTATTGGCTGGTCATCAGGGCCGCCAGCACATTGCACATATTACCCACTACAAAGTTACAGACCATAAGGCACTTTCATAACTTAACCCTTTTTGCATAATATTGTACCAAAAGTGGGACTTTTTCTAAAAATTACTTTTTCTCGTTTATTTCACTTAAAAATTATCCGATTGCATTATTTCATACGTTCGGCACGAAAACTTAACAAATCGTATCAAAATATTTTTTAAACATTTTTCCGTGTCATCTTAACCTATGAATTTGAACAAAAAAAAATATAAAATGTTAATAACCTATCCAAAACAAAATAATTGTCACATTTTACACAAGTAATTATTATTTTCAGACAAAAATATAGGTAATTAAATTTTAGATACACACAATAGGTATGTTTCCTACAATATATTTTTATCTGCCAATAATTCGCTAATGAATAATTTAAGATACTGAACAATATAAATATAAAATGATATAATAATTTGATGCAATAATTTTCAAGCCGAACATTTCTAAAACAAGTTTACAACTTTCGTCCGTTTTTTTTCATACATTATATAAATAATATCACCGACGACCATTTCGTGCGTTTTTCACATGATGCGTCGACGGTGTCGGAAATAAATCGCAAACTTTTTGTGCTAAATTCCCTCTCTTCACGATTCGCCCCTCCTCTCAAACGACATATATAATATACATATATTGTAACACACGTAAACGGCACTCGAGATACGAGCTGGCACATCTAAAATATTATCGGCGGCGTATATATTATAACGATAATAATATTAAAGTCACCGCGGCGTTCACAAATCAAGAAACAGAGAACGAAAAGAAAACCCATAAAATCCCATCGTCGTGTACACATATGTATGCACACGATATATTTCATAAAACGTTCAGTGTGACAGTGTTGTATTAGGGCTTGTATTATACAACTGTCTTTGCCATTACAGCAGTTTTTCGCGTATGCACAAAAAAAAATGTACAGAATATTATTTTGAATTGCGATATACTGATGTGATTTTGATATTTTTCGGTCGTTGAGTCATGAGTATTTCACACCGTCGTGTCGGTATATATATTTTTCTAAACTATTTATTTGAAATATAATATTTAATCTTATATAATCTTCAATTTATTTCTCAGTTATCACAGAACCTACCTACTGAATTTATATGGATCGTAATTATTTTTTAAGATACTGCCAATTTTTTTTTATATATTAAAAAATATTGATGATATTTTCCAACAATAATTTGAAAAAGTATATTTATTATTTATATTTTATTATTTGGTCAATTCGAATTCAGAATAAAATTGATGTTTTTGCGTTTCTATGCGTTATTGCGTTATGGACGTGCCAAGACTGGTGGATGGTACAACTTACAACCACGATGAGAGAGTAGATATTATAACATAAAGTGTGAAATTTTTTTTTTTAATTTAGAGTTTTGTGGATGTCTTGCATATGTTAAAAATATATACTACATATACTATTAGGTATCCACCTAATCATGTAAGAACTCGGTTAAACACATAAAGAATAAGTATAAAAGTTCAACTTTCACCTCATTCTTTATATTTTATAGTTAATCAATTATGCATGGTATAATAATATGAAAGTTTAAATTTGTTATTATTCAACACTTGAATTCATTCGTGTTGCAAGCGTTTGTTTTTAGAATTTTATTCGACCTCATGTAGTTATGTCCACTGTTCACTGAGAGAAAATTATTTTGAAAAGTTTTAATACAATTATTGATAAAGTTTTTTACTAACATCTTACTCTTAAAAAAAAAAAAAATGAAATTTATGTGTTTGACCTCCAATTTATCTCTGACCGGAAATACACCTTGACCATTGATAATAAATATCATACTGATAGGACCACCCCGATCCTGACTTTGGAACTGTAGCCAATAATTCCACCACCCTGGGTGTTTTATGCTATCGTGATGGGTGGTGCGATACTGTATAGTGGTGTCATACCGAGTCACAGTATCCGCAACCATCATCCATAGTCAGACCAGTAGACCACCGGTCAA